AGGGGGTAAGGGGAAGGGGGGGGGGGGATTTGGGGGAATGGAGAACAGTTGTCATCAGAACAGGAATTATTTATGGCTGCGCTTTAACCAACCAGTAAACTATTCACAATTTAGATGAGATTTAGTAAAAGGTAATAGATGCTACATTTACTAAACCAGGGCTTGACAAATTTGCTTTAAATCTAGGAGCCAGCTAAAAAAAAAAAAAAAGTTTTTTTTAAACAAAGCTTTATTTTTTGGGACAGTTGTAACTTTCAATTACCATTTTCATTGGTGCACGCGCTGATACCTGACATGTGTAGCTCAATGGTCATTTTCATATGTAAGCGCACGTGACTTGTGTTTACATTAGTATGTGCGCGTTCACAGGGGCTGGGCACTTTTTTGGGGGGGCGGAGGGGCTTACAAGTGTCACAAGGACCCCTAGGTGTCACCTTTCCACTTCAAATGCTTTAGCTGGGGTATGACAGCTGCATGCTAAAGCAACTGAATGTAAACAGAGCAGGCAGTGGCTAGGAGCAATCCCTCCTATCCCGCTGCCTCTGCTTATACAGGCAGGAAGACCAGCGGGGATTGAAGGGGACAAAGACTGCAGCATGCAGCTGGCTCCCATTGGGGGAGGAAAACAGGGGGAGCTGAGCCGATGCGGCGGAGGAGGCTGACAAAACCAAGGCGTCAGGATGCAATTTTTAGTTGCCATGGCAACCTGGTGCCTGGGATTCGTTGAGCCCTGTTTAAAATAACATTAAAACACTAGCAGACTGAAACGTTTTAATAACCTTGACTTCCTCCTCCTCATCTTCACCCTCCCATCGGTCTGTTGACGTCACTGCACCAGCTTTTCGAATCGGCTCTTCTGGCTGAAAGTCCTCCGTCTCTGTGTGAAGGAATAAAAATAAATAAAATTGTAAAAACCTCAGAAAATCTCAAGCAATCCGTCACTTCCTATCTGATGGCCACAACAGTAAACAAGAGGAATCCCTCTAAAAGAGAGAAATCCCTGGTGGTCAGCAGGGTAACCAGAACTGGTATCCCCATTGGAAGATTTCCCATCAATTCCTGTTCTGATGACAACCCAAATTGTGACAGTTTCTTTTACTTAGTGTTCACCAAGGCAGGACAAATAGGAGGGTGAATCTCCCTAAAATGGACACAGACTGAAATAAAAACCTGACCAGAGTTCTAATCCTTCTCCACTTGAACATTGTAAGCAGTCACCTCATAGGTTTTTTTGTTTCTTTCTTGCCTACCTACCTATCCAGTATTGCACACTACTCACCATCTCCTGGTAGTTGAGAATGTGATGTCCCCTGGCCTCAACACAAAACTAAATGTCCCAGAGATGCAGTGGCCATTTCTAAGCCTGCCTTTCCCCAGCAAACAGACCACGGTACACCGCTTGTGACTAATAAATTGCTCATGTTTCAGCATATGATGTGCTGATGATCGCAATGATTTCTGGATCAAGAACAATGACATCTCTTGTGAAATCATTGCAGAACACACGTGCAAGCTCAAGAAGCTGTTCGGAACACATCATGCTCCCTTCAGCACAGTTCTTAATACAGGCACATCCTTGCTTAACATTATACTAAAACAGGTTCACATTAAACCAGGGGTGGACAAATTAATATTGAGTTCAGGGGCCGGCCTGTCCAATCCTGGAGTCAGCAGATTTTATTTTTCAGGAGCCAGCTCAATTGACAACAACTAGAGAAATCCTCGATGGTTAGGAGCCAGTTGTCATTTGTAAGCGCATTGGCTCCGACACCAGGGATTTGTCCAGCCCTGAGTAAAAGCTCAACCCCAGAGTGGGAACTTCTCAGGTTTTCATGCTGTCTGATCAGACGTTACCACAACATGAAGCCAAGAATAATCATCAAAGCCTAAAGCTGCCCATACACCTTACAACCATCGCACGCCTTTCGTTATGCGATGGTTGTAAGGTGATTCAAATTTTGTACGATCTGTCCATCTTGGACATGCAGATCGTACTTGCGATCATCGCAATCCCTCCCCGCTGAGGGGAGGGCTTCCGATGATTGCAGTGCTGAGCGGGCAGTGTGCACTGGCGCGTGCGGCATTAGTCTTCCGAGCACGCCACCAACCCGCCGAAAACCGTACGATTTTCGGCAGGTTTTCCAAAGGTGCTAGGAAGACGAAAGTCGTGCGACCGTAAAAAAGATGCAGTCGCACGCTGTCTATACACCTGGTTAGGACCCTTATCAAATGAAGGACAAACAGAAAAAAAACAAAATGTAGGTTCTCTAGTTTCTCCACTGCATCCAAAACTACTGAAAACATTTACCTTTAATTAGGCTCTAAAAGCATAAAAAAATATCAAGACTGAAATGGCATTATAAAGCAAGAGGACCCAAGTGGATAAAAGATCTCTGTGGAAAATACAGACAACTATAAAAGGCATTTATTCTTGAAAATTAAAGTTCATTTGAAGTTGTTTCAAGAATTAAACACTGGAAATAGAGCAGATACACAAAAGGGAGGTCACCACATTTACCAGTTCAAAGTTGATATGACTCGAGAGTTTATATTGGCTCAGATTCCAAGGTCTACTCTAGGTAGTTGATATTAGACCAAAGACAAACAGCAAGGTAGTAAAGGGGAACAACAAGGTAGTAAACTTTTGTCCCACAAAAAGAGAGGAATTAAATGTATGTACACCAACGCTAGAAGTCTGGCAAATAAAATAGAGGAGCTTGAAATTAGGTTAATTGAAGAGGACTTCGACATAGTGGGTATAGCGGAAACCTGGCTGGACAGCACGCATGACTGGGCTACTAATATAGAGGGGTATAACCTGTTTAGGAGGGACAGAGGTGGGAGAAGAGGG